AGTCCCCAGTGCCTCAGGGTCCGTAAATAGGAGCTTATTAAATTTCGTGTTGAATCAGATTGACGTAACACAAAACTTTTAGAAATAACTAGCAAAATCAGATTTTTAAAAATGCAAATAGATTTAAAAAATAAACTCAGCAAAGTGGCACCAGAAAAGTGGTTGCTGATTATTGTAGGCCCAACTGTACATTTCAGTGGCTCTTATCACCAGTGAAATGGAGTAGAAATTGTGATTGTAATGTAATGGGATGAAATGCACTGGATTTGGTGTTGAGTTCTGGGTTCAAGTGTTGGTTGTGCTATTTATTAACAGTATGACTCTGGGAAAGTCAAATAAGGGGGTTGAACTGCATGAAATTTAAGGTTTCTTCCAGCTCTAAATCTATGATCTTATGAGTTAGTAGTTTATCTGAAAAAGGGATTTTAGTTGACTTACAGCTAGGTCCTAATTAGTGGGAATAGTGAATTCCATGAAGTGGCATTATTTGATTTCATTCTATATAGTTCCATTGGCCTGAAACCAGTTGCTATAAATTTTACATAATTATAACTTCAGATACTGCAAATTTGAGTACATGCAAACATTTCACAGGATGCATCAATTTGGAATGGCAGCCAAAACACACGGGTTCTTTTGTTGAATTAAGAGAGACGTATCTTTCAGGAATAAGAAAGTGATAATCCTGTTATACTCAACTTTTTGTCAGACCACCTCTGGAATATTGTGTTCAGTTTTTGGGAGCTGCATTTTACAAAGGAAAGTATGCAGAGGAAGACAGCCAGATGGTGAAGAGCTTCTCGTTCATGCCATTTGAGGAACTAAGGATGTTTAGCCTGCAGAAGAGAAGATTCAGAATCCATGATGCTAATAAGAACAAGAATAGCATTTATAGAGTGCTTTAAGGTTTCCATAGTGTTTTACATGTGTTATCTCTTTTGATCTCCTACAATAGTCTTGTGATGTAGGTGATATTCTTATCCTCATTTTACAGATGAGGAAACTGAGGCACGGAGAGGTTAAGTGACTACTTCAAAGTTATACAACTAATAATGGTCTGAGGCAGGATTTGAACTTGAATCTTCTTGACTTATAAGTTCTGTGCTTTACCTATTGTACCACCTTGTTGGCTTATGAAATAGTTAAAAGGCTTATTATGTGGAAGAGTGATTGGATTTTTTTTTTTGGCCCCAGAGGGGAGAAAAGACTAGGAGCAGTAGGTATAAGTTTCAAAGAAAAATTTGCGGGGGGGGGCGGCTAGGTGGTACAGTGGATAGAGCGCCGGCCCTGAAGTCAGGAGGACCTGAGTTCAGATATGGCCTCAGACCAAACACTTGACGCTTACTAGCTGTGTGACCCTAGGCAAGTCACTTAACCCCCGATTGCCTTAAAAAAAGAAAAAAAGAAAAGAAAAAAGAAAAATCTAGGCTTGGTATAAGAACAATCTCCTGACAATTAGAGCTATTCAAAAGTTGAATGGACTGTTTCAGAAGGTGAGTAACTATCCCTCATTGACTGTCTTGAAGCAAATGCTAGATGATCATTTGACTGGTGTGTTGTAGAGATTTTCCCCCTTCTATGCCAGGTATGAGTGTACCCTATGGCCTTTGAGGTACTCTGTGGCACAATAATATTCCATTATGCGCTTGTTTAGCCATTCCCCACTTAATAAATAGGTACCCATGTCGTTCCCAATTTTAGGCTACTACAAAAGTGCTATGAATATATCCTACCACACTTTTAAACAAACACACTATTAACTGATCAGAGTTTCACTTCTGTTCCTCTACTTTAGTAAAAATGGTAGAGAGCAATGAAGTCAATTGAGAGGTAGTTTAAAAATATCCGCTAAATTGTTAACACCATGCCTATCTCGGTGTTTACACGTGTTCCTATTTTCAAAAATTGCTATGTTGTACAGAGCAGAAGAGAGTGCTGGACTTTGAGTCAGGAAGATATGAGTTTGAATCTGGCCTCAGACTAGCTGTGTGATCCTAGGCAAGTCACTTAACTTCTCTGTGCTTTAGTTTCCTCATCTTTAAAATGTGCCTAGCATGTACTTCCCAGGATTGCTGTGAGGATCAGTGAGTTAACATGTAATGAGCTTTGCCAACCATGAAGTGCTATATAAACTCTTGGTTGTTGTTTCAAAGAAACCTATAGTCAGGTAAAGAGTAACACCGAATTGTTACTTTTGAATTGAATAAAGTGTATTTGTTTATTCATTCGACAAATATGTGAGTTTTTCTACTTGCAAGATCTTGGGCTTAAATAATATAGATATAAAGAGCTGTATGAAGAATTATCACTAGCCTCAAGGAGTTGACAATGTTAATAGGGGAGATAGTATACAACCATAATACAACCCAATAGATAATATGTTATATTATAGAAGAAGTAAGGAGAATTCAGAGAGTTGGATAATTAGGAGTCACTAGTCATTTTCAATATAAAAATTAAGTGTTATAGGCAGTCAAGGAGATAAATGAAGACTTGTGGGTAGAGGGAATGCTTCATTCCATTCAAAAGGTGAGACTTGAGCTTGGCTTTAAAAGCGAGAAAGAGGGATTTATACTTGATTTGGTAGGAAATTGGAGCATATTGAAGGAAATTACTTTGTGATTATATTGTGTATATTTTGTGTAGATGTTGTTCATATTGTTTTTCTCTAATGGAACTTAAAATAATCATGCTTTGTGCATTGTGTCTAGAACATAGTAGGTGTATAATAAGTGCTTGTTTATTGAAATGACAAGGGGCAGCTAGGTGGTGCAGTGGATAGAGCACCAGCCCTGGATTCAGGAGGACCGGAGTTCAAATCCGGCCTCATAATAGCACTTACTAGCTGTGTGACCCTGGGCAAGTCACTTAACCCCATTGCCTAGCCAAAAAAGGAAAAAAAAAAAACAAGAAAGAAAGAAATGACCAAAAAAATTGACAACCAAAGCATGAAGAAAAAGAATTTGGGTAGTCTACTCCTAGATAGATACTCAAGAGTGATTAGAATTTGCCAAGTTAGCTTGACTTCATTTGTCTAACATACTCTTATTTAGCATCTAATTTTTTCATGTCTTAAGTTCCATCTACTAAATCATATTCCCTGTTGGCATCAGCCTACTTTGACACCTTCCTAGATGCCTTTTCTTACGTCTGCTTCACCTCCTATTTTGATGAACCTGTGTACTTAAACATGGTTATACAGTATTAGCTCTAGGAAGGTGGTTAAAGATCATAGAGTCCAGCCCCTTCCTTTTACAGATAGAGAAACTAAGGCTCAGAAGTGAAGATCTGAGTATGCTGTCTATATTGAGTTATTGGCACAGTTGCAGTTGAAATTGGTCTTCTGACTCTAAGCCCATTGCTATTCTACCCTACTATACCAATTCCCTGGTTATTATGGCTGTTTCTTACTTTTCTGTGCATATTTCATATAGAGCATGCCTGATGTGGGTTACCTTAGGAGAGCAGTTAGAGCGCTTGGAAGCAGTGATGTGTCAGAATGATATACTGAGTGTTACAAAGACGAGGGGGGGGGAAGTGCTGGAGTAGGTATTGTGAGCATACATGTCATTCAAAGTAGGAGGACTTTCTGCTTTCCTGAGAAGAAGCAGGTGGAATTGGCTAGAGTGGATGAAGTGAGTATGGCCTAGTCACAAGGTGTCTGAAGATGCAGTGTTTATTGCAAAATATCAGTTGTTACCATCTAAGGAAAGCCACTGAAAGCATGGGGATTGCCTAGGTAGGTATTGGAATTCCTTTGTTCATTGTTTTGTCTGGCCCAGATTTTTTTTGGCCAGAGGCCAGCAAAGGAGTGATCATTTCATTGTTACTTTAAAGCCATTTCAAGATTTATTCTTCTAACAATTAGCCTCCCTCTTGCTATTAAATATAGAACATTAAATTCACCATTCACCCTCTCTCCACCTACTCTGTCACTCATCTACCAACCTACTCCTTGCCACCTAGCATCCCTTCCCTTTTTTTCTTACCATTTCTACCTCCTACCCAGTCTTTCTTCCATCCATCAAACTGTCTCCCTTTTCATCTATGAGTGTAGGTTAGTGGTGAAGTTGTGTGTATTACTACAGTGCTTGGGCACCTCCTCAGTGTCCTGGGTATATGTCAGGACATTAAGGAGTTTTGTTGGAGTGGTGAGGGCATGTGGGTTAGGAGAGGGGCAGAGGTCTATTTCTTCTCCTTTGTTCAGACCCAGCTTTTCTAAAAGACAGTAAGAGAAAGTGATCTACCATCTTTTCTCACCTTTCCTTACCCTGGTCAGAGGATCTGGGTTAAGATATTCACTCTTTGTTACTCAGCCCTTCTGGTCCTCATTTTCATCTCTAAAGGGTTGGACTTTATGATCTGTCCTTTCCAGTTCTAAACCTTAACTCCTCTTTGGGTTAAATATGGAATCAGGAAACTTGGGCTGATGAGTATTAGCCATATTAGCCATATAACCCTGGGCAAGTAGTAATGACAGCTCGCTCACTTTGATGGAACACTTGAAGGTTTATAGCGCTTTTTTCACAACCTCTCTTTGAGGGCGCCAGTTTTACCATCTAGAGTCTAAGCTTCCAAACTACTGTGCCCTGACAGATGAGTTGAAATGTTTTTTATGAACATCATCCTTCTTCTGTCTCATTCTATGACTTTCTTGTCCAAAAGATTCCCAGTATGAAACATCAGAGAACTAATGTTACTGCTGGGTACTTCATTCTGGCCATCCCTGTGAGAGTCCCTGAATGCAAAGAAACTAGTTGGAATTGGAGGCCCAGCAAACTGGCTCCACCAGTGGGACTGGAAGTCTTGGACAATTAACTAGGATCCCTTTTTCTGTTCTAGTTCCAGAATTGGCCAGGGAAATCTAGGAACCACAAGGATTAGAAAGCTAGTGAGAAAATTTTTAACTAAGTAAAATTCTAAGTGTTTTGGTTCAGTGATTAGCAAGAAGGAAGTTGGTAAATTTTTGTTCTAATTTTGGACTTTTGCTTTCTTTCCAGTTGCTTTAGGTCGTAATCAGCCTCTGAAGAAAGAGAAACCAAAATGGAAAAGCGATTATCCCATGACAGATGGACAACTGCGCAGCAAGAGAGATGAATTTTGGGATACTGCACCAGCCTTTGAAGGCCGTAAAGAAATTTGGGATGCTCTGAAGGCTGCTGCACATGCGTTTGAGAACAATGATCATGAACTGGCACAAGCAATCATTGATGGTGCAAATATAACATTACCGCATGGTAGGTTCAGTGTTCCAGGAGGATGGGGCAGGAAGGGGTGGGGGAATAGAAAGGGATTATATGGAAGTATACATCTAGCTCATTTCTTCAGTCTAAGAAGGGGAAAAAACAGGAAGCATTTTCTTCTTGTTATGAGATGTAACACTTTTTTCAATGAAACAAGAAACCTCACTTCTCTTTTTGTCCTTTTGTCTAGACATGTATATACATACATACATATATACATACATATACATATATATGTGTATGTATGTATGTGTGTATGTTTGTCTTTTCCTGCTAATGGTTCTTTGCTCTTTGGTGCTCTCAAATAGCACAGTTTACGCATGAATTAGAAACAGATGTTCTAGTTATAACATCATTGACCTCCCTTCCCTCTTCCTCGAATTTTTGTCTCACTTTCTTTGTTGCTGTTTCACCCCCTACTGTCCGCTTACCTTTTTTCTTTTAGAAAAGAGACTGAGTTTCCCGATCTCATCTAGGCTGGAAGTGCAGCAGCTGCTCAAGGGCCTGAACCAAATTCTGATTGACATGGGAACTCTGACCTGCTTTGTGTCTAACTTGGGGTGGTTCACCACCCCTTTACCCTCGGGGTAGGCTGCTGACCCTGTACTCCTGGGGGCTCACTGTATCAGTGCTGTACGTAGTGTGGACAACCTACTTGTTATTGTCTTCATCATGTTTGTTTTTTTCTCCAACCTGTCATATCATTCTAATACACCCTTCAAAAAAAACCCCCGTATTTTTCACTTTATAATTATTTCCCTACCATCAGCTTTGTTGTTTGCTATCCTAAACAGTAGAAATGTTGGTTGGTCTTTATGTGACCTTGACAGTCTTTTTATTTTAATTTATAGATAAAAAATTTATGAAATTTGCTAATACTTTACCTTGAGAATGATTCTTTTTTTGTTTGGCTATGTTAGGACAGAAGTTTGGGATGGAAGCAGGACTTTTCCCTGTCCTGTTATCTTTTCTGTTGTAAGATTATAAGATTCAAATAGGAAATCTAGGTGGTGCAGTGGATAGAGAACTGGGCCTGGTGCAGGAAGACTCATCTTCCTGACACTTAAAATCTGACGCTTATGATTATGTGACCTTGGGCAAATCACTTAACTCTGTGTGCCTCAATTCCTCACCTATAAAATGAGCTGCAGGAGAAAATGGCAAACCACTTCAGTATCCTTGCCAAGAAACCCCAAATGGGGTCACAAAGAGTTGGGCACTAGTGAAAAAGAACTGAACAAATGTACACTCCTTCAAATAACACTTTTGCATGACATAAAGGAATGGAGTCTGCTTATTTTCCTTCCATGTATGTTTGTAACATTTATGTTTAAAGCAGAATTTCTGAGAGTCAATATACCTGTCAGATTGGCAGCTGGTAGGCTATGTCTGTATGACATGTCTTCCATTTACTCAAAGGAAAACACCTTGCAAATTGATCCCTTAATAGCTCTGGATTCCCAAGTTTTTGTTCTTGGTATAATTGGCATATTTTTGGTATATAATTAGTATATTTTTGTTCTTGGTATAATTGTTTATGGATACTCTTTGATTCTCTAACCTCTCACAAGGTTAGAATAGTTGGTTTTAAATTCATGGAAGGAAGCAGCCAGAACAGCTTTGAGTTTTGAGGGCCTTCACGTCACTTGAAAAGCAATAGGTAGTACCTATATTGTTATGATTTTGGAATTATAATTCCTGAAGTCTGACTGTATTTGTAAAAAACTGTATGTAGGACACCAGTTCTGAGAGGACTTTTCTTACTTTGAGAGAGACTCAAACTCTTATCTAGACTTGAATCATATCTTTCTTTCATGCTGGAGAAGGGAGGAAATCTCACTGGTTTCTGTGCTTACCGTTTTAAAGCTCTATAGTAGGGGTTCTCTAGATTCCATAGACCCCCTACAGGGTCTGTCAGTAGATTTCATGGGATATGTGAATTTCCGGGGGGGGGATATTATGTCTTTATTTACATTAACCTCTAACTGAAATTTAGCATTTCTTTCAATTATGAATTAAAAAACAAAAGTATTCTGAGAAGGCAGGAGTCCACAGACTTTTCTAGAGACTGCTGAAGATGTATTGACAGGAAGGGGTACATAATATAAAAAAGATTAAGAACCACTTGCTTTATAGCGTCCTGGGTATTATGGTTATTCACATTTCCATTGATTGAATATGTTTCTTCAGACTTCTTGCTCAAGATCTTGCTTGGGTGTATTATTAAGCTGTAATGTATTCTTTAATCCAATGTCTATGCCACCACCAATTAGTTCTTAAGCAAAATATAGACCATCTACCTGTCACAAATTTTTCATCTGTTTTGTATGTTATTTTCTTGAAATTTATTCTTCATCGTGTGTTGTTTTATATCTAAAACTGAAATCAAAATCCTTTGGGCTTTGAATCTGACATATTCTATAGGCCTCTAATGTAATTAATTTGATTATTTCCTTGGTATATTAAATATATGAGGCATACCTTTTGGTTCTCCAGAAAGATAATGCATCTTTGTCCATATACCTGAAGGAATTTGGGGATTGTTTTTTATTCAGTAGCATTGGTTATTGAATACCTGTTACCTACCAGGCAGTGTGCTGAGCACTAGTAATGGTGGATCTTTCCTAAGAAGATAGACATTACTGAGCAGCATTGTCAGTAAAGGAAACAGAGACAGTACAAACAAATTAGAAGAGATTGTGGAAGAGACCCAATGCCCATATCTATCATTGTTTCCCTCTCTTGTTTTCATTCATTCCTCTTTTGTGTTTCTCTTTGTCACCTGTGACTTTATCCATTCTCATTTTATTTTTCTCAGGTTAAAACCTGAAATATTCTAAAGAGGTTAACAGGGAGGGTGGGGAAGTAGGAATGAAATTACTTTAAAAGTTTTGTCAATATATTGTCACGTATTTGGACTTTGTTTTTGTTGACTTTAGGTTGTGAACACTTTCTGAGTAGGCACTGTATTTTAAAATTTGTATGGAATCTGACTCATGTGTAGTGCCACTCAAATACTAATTTTGATGAGGCTTCCTTTTTTGTTTGGCCTGTTCTTATCTTGAAACGTTTTAAATGATTGAACCAAATACCTTTCTTGTATTCTTTCCTTGTTGCTTTCCTATTCTTTTTATTTTAAGGTGGCACAGTGGATAGAGTGCCAGGCCTGGACTTAGGAACAATTCAGTTGAAATCTAGTCTCATACACTTGTTAGCTCTGGGTGACCCTCAGCAAGTCACTTGACTTTCATTTTGCTTCAGTTTCTTCATCTGTAAAATGGAGACATAATAGCACCTACTTCTCAGAGTTGTAAGGATCACATGAGGTAGTAATTGTGAGGCACTTAGTGTAGTGCCTGGCACATAGTGAGCAGTGTGTGTGTGTGTGTGTGTGTGTGTGTGTGTGTGTGTGTGTGTGAGAGCTATCATTATGATGATTATTTTATTGAACAGTATCTTCTCTAGTTCCATTTTCACTGCAGATGAATGGCTGGCATTCCTAGAAAAAATGATTGTACTCTGTACTTTTCCAGATCTTCTTCTTCTTCATGCCTTACTTCTTTCCTATTCCTTTTGTGAAACTGCTGGAGAAGCCCAATTAGTACCTTTTCCTTTTTTTTTTCCCCCTGAGGATTACCATAATGCCACTAAGCAGAAATCCTGGCAAGATCCTCATAACAGATATTACGTAAGCCTTTTTCGCCAAGTTGGAAACTGAGTCACAGAGAGGGCAAGTGACTTACACAAACTAGCATCGTAACCAGGGCTAAGATTTTATCCTATTCGGTTCACTTTGTAAAATTACAAACTGTCTTAAAAACTCTTACTGGGCAATAACTGTATAGATTTAACTTGTATAGTAAAAGCAGGTTTTGATTATAATGATAATGACATTAATTTCACAGAATTGTAAGATTAACAGAAGGTTTGAGAATTCACCTTGTCTTGTTTTTTGTTGGGGCTCAAACCATCCTAGGAAGATGGCTACTGTGATTTTTTTAATTCAAATATCAACCAAGGCTGAGACTCTCCAGCTTCCATAACCCAGTTTATAATCAGGATCTTCTTTCTAAAGCTGTGCAAAATCCGTTAGTCTCAAATTTTAGAGCATTTCCCTGAAAAAAAGGAATGATTAACTGTTTACTGCTTTTCAGAAAGGAGCTTTTGAAGTCTCTTTTCCTCTTGAGGCTAAATTAACTGTGATTAACAAGTATTGTTGTTGTTCAGTCATTTCAGTCTCGTCCAACTCTTTGTGACCCCATTCGGGGTTTTCTTCTCCAACTGATTTTATATATGAGGAAACTGAGGCAAACAGGGTTAAGTGACTTGCTCAGGGTCACACAGTAAGTCTCTGAGACGGGATTTCAACTCGGGAAGAAGAGTCATCCTAACTCTAAGCCCAGCACTTTATCCACTGTGCCACCTAGCTGCCCAAGACAGCAAGTGTGATGTGTGCCAGGTGCTTTTCTAGGCATTGAGGACAGAAAGAATAAAGCAATCCCTATTCCCAACAAGTATATCTGTAAGTATAATTATGTATACATATATAAATATGTAGCATATTACATATATTATATAATAAGTATTTGTATGTATATTGCATGAATATAGAGGAAATATACATCTAAAGTAGTTAAGTGCAATTTAGTTTGGGAGGGAGGGCACCAGCAGCTGGGAGCATCAAGAAAGCATCAGACACTTGACGAGCACTAGCTGTGTGACCCTGGGCAAATCGCTTAACCCTGATTGGCTCACCAAAAAGCAAAAAAAAAAAAAGTCTTCTTGCAGAAGAAGGTGTCCGAGCTGCATCTTTTTTAGAGAGTGACTTTATGAGGCAGAGGTAAAGAAGGAGGGAGTGCATGCCAGGCGTGTGGGATAGCTGGGAGAAAGACAAGAAGACAGGAGACAGTGTCTTGTGTGATAAATAGGAACGAGGCCAGTCTTGCTGGATTGCAGAGTAGGGGAGGACGAATGTCCAGCAAGGCTGGAAACCT